ATATATATATATATATATATATATATATATATATATATATATATATATATATATATATATATATATATATATATATATATATATATATATATATATATATATATATATATATATATATATATATATATATATATATATATATATATATATATATATATATATATATATATATATATATATATATATATATATATATATATATATATATATATATATATATATATATATATATATATATATATATATATATATATATATATATATATATATATATATATGTGTGTATGTATATGTGTATATATATATATATGTGTATATATATATATATATATGTGTATATATATGTGTATATATATATATATGTGTATATATATATGTGTATATATATGTGTGTATATATATATATATATATATATATATATATGTATCTATATATATATGTATGTATATATATATATATATATATATATATATATATATATATATACGTATATATATTTATATATATATATTAATCGTACATTTTCATACGACTGAACGAATTCATATCAATTAGCCACTAAACTGACAAGTTTGACAAGGAGCCGGGTCGGAAGTACAAATACTTTGTTACTGTAGATTTTTCTGGAATCAGTACGTTACTCCACTGTTTATCTTTCAGACAATTTTTACTCCTTACATCTTTACACAAATTTCTTTACTTTCTACTCCTTACGTTTTTAAATCGGGCTCCTTACTTTTGTTTTCACGTGTTTTGTGGCGAGATTTATAATATTTCCTGTCATTTCGCTATATGAACGCCTTTTTCATTCTGTCATTTTGTCATTGAGTGCTGCAGTGCGCGGCTTTTTCAACCTCCGATCGCGCACCGTAGACTTATTTATTTAAGCTTTCCATGGGAACAGCTAACATGGATAAGACAGAGGAAGTCCGGAATGGTAACATGACTGATGTCATACTTAAAACCAGCCTGATCTCACGAGAAAACCTATTTTATGTTTTGTCAGTTTAGTGGTAATTCGTACAAGTTCAGTCGTACGATTTTAAAAAGGAGGCGTCCGACCCAACCGCACCTCTAACCCCAACTGTAATTTGGTGACGAGCAAATCGTACTAAATTGTATGAATTATATCATACGAATTAGCCACTAAATCAAAAATGTACGAATTGCCGTGAGATTGCGTTGGTAATAAGATGCGTTTTGGTCGATTGGATCACAGGTTCAACAAGAGACGCATTACTGTTCAAATCTGGCATTATAGTCTTTTGTCCACTTCCGACTATTGGTGTACTACTCTACATCTAATCTTTCAATCTAATACAGCGAAAAAACAAACAATCATGTACTTTTTTTGTACGTTTGTACAGTTACTACTAAAGCAATTAAATACATATGAACACGCTACGCAATGAGGCTTCTTTCCTTTGTTTTCAACGAGTTCCTATTTTCTGTATTATAGTTTCAACTTGTATTTTATGTATACTGTCTTCATTTAAATTTGTTAGATTGTTAGATAAATATTTTAGAACAAAGTACTTATCCTGAGTGCTAATTTGCTGCTGAAAATTGGCAACAAAATTTTTACGTAAATTGGAAATGCAAGTTTTTTTGTATAGATGTATTCATGATATGTAGTGTAGTTACGACTGAAACTAAAGCAGGTATACCAATGAATACTTTTTACTTAAGTACTTATTTCAGGACGTACTTCTTATACTTAAGTAGAAAAGTGTAGTCAGTACATCAACTTTTACCAGAGGGGGATGATTGGGAGTCCTTGATGGGCCGATGGAGGGAATTACACCCCTACTCTTTACCAGAAGTGCCATGAGTTAACAACCACAAAGAGTCAGGACCTTGGTTTAACGTCTCATCCGAAAGACGGCAATTATGACAGTATAGTGTCCCCTTCACTATATTGGGGTATTAGGACCAACGCATTCTCACGGCAATTCGTAACTTTTTCATTTAGTGGCTAATTCGTATGAATTCGTACGATCTAATTTGTACAATTTAGTACGATTTGCTCATCCCCCAATGATGGTTAGGGTTAGGGGTGGGGTTGGTTGCCACGCCTCCTTTTTAAATCGTATATTTTAATTCGACTGAACTTGTACGAATTCGTACGAATTAGCCACTAAACTGACAAAACGTAAAATACTTACGTTTCCTCGTGAGATCAGGCTGGACTCACACATACCGCAGGTTAAGCGCCCCCTGCTGGCTTCACTAACGCCACTTCCAACAGCAACCTAGTTTTCCCATGTAATCTCCCATCCAGGTAATCCGCCCTGCTCAGCTTCAGTGAGTAACCACTCTTGGACTGCATACAAGCAGTTTGAACAAAATAATTGCTCCTACTTTCGATCCCAGCCGAACAAAACTATTAATTTCTATTAAAAAAGACGAAAGAAGAGGGAATAAAGAGTCGGCAGCGCACGTATTTGTTGACAGATGCTTCTGATCAGGCATGATTGTTTGCCTGTATTTATTATCATCACTATTATTCATATACAGGAATGCAAGACCACATATTGGGAAGAGCTGTGCAGCTTAAAACCGTAGTGTTACATTTAAACATCCTAATATACACCTAAAACAAAGTGCTGCAGAGTGTTCATTAAGTGTTAATTAAAAACTGTACACGTCATCCTACAATCAGCCCTGCTCAAGATGGCGGCGCTGTTAGTCTACTTCACTTCAAGCGATCATTCGATACAACGTTTAATCAGGCTGCCATTAAACTCAAGAGGGTCCGGCCCTCTTTAACAATTATAAAACTGGAATTTAGAAATAAATCGACGACAACGAAAAGTGTACAAGCAAGGCAATGCAGAGATTTCCTCTTTAAAGGCGACATTCAGAGGCGGTGTTCAGAAATCAGACGATCTAAAATAATAATAATAGTAATAATAACAATTAAAAATAAAACGGGAAATAAATTAAAGCTGGACAATTGTCCGGACAATTCCTACAAGAATCCCTGCACTGCCCAAAGCTCTTCCTAAACACAGGGAAAAGGAGATGATTTGTCAGTTGTGATGAGATTACCCAGACTGAATCGGAGGCTTCCGTCGCTGTAAACAGAACATTGGTAAACTCAAGTATATAAAACATTTATAAATATGAATTGTTCCGGCAAAGAGAAGCAGTTCAGAGCTGGAGTGTTCGAGCCTGTCTGTCTCTGCACAAAGACTGGATTTCTCGGAATAGAAGAGGAATGATGAAGAGCACACTGCATCCCGTCTGCGGAGGAGAGAAAGACAAACGTTAATCTCGGCGTTCAGAATATCAACACATTCGCTGAAGAACGTTTGAGAGATTCACGAAGAAGTGTTTAAATTGTGTCGACTATACTTAAAATCTAAATTCACAATGTTTACATTGTTAGCTCTCATTGTTATTGAGGTGAATAATTAATAAAGTTAATTTACTGAGAGAAAAATCGTTTGTTTTCGTTATCTTTGATTAGTCTAACCGTTTGCATTTCCATTTGGCCCGCTGACAACCCTTGACGGATGAAAGTGAAGAGCTGGGGAAGGGAGGGGGTTGTGGGCTGAGTCGCAGAGTCATGAACGACAAAAGTAACGAGGGAGGGGTGTCGTGCCCTTTATAATTTCTCTGGTCGTCCTAACTTTCCTGGTGCTCCTATTGGCTGTCACTCAAAAAAGTCGCATTTAGTTTGCATTAAGTTGAAGATTTCTAAACTAAGTCGCTATGCTGGACACGCCTACATGGTCGCCAACGGTCCACGCTCGTGCAGACAAAGGTCGTCGGAAGTTGCTTACTCACTTGAAATAAACGGCCGCTTTGCCGCTGCGAGTCGCTCGTAGTGTGAATTAGGCTTTACTGTTAGATTGCAATGAGGCGATGATGCGCCAAATAAAGCCCCGCCCACTTATATGCCGTTTCAGGTGGAAGTGCATTAACATACTGAAAAAAGAGTCTCTGGCTGCGTCCGAAACCGCATACTTCCATACTACATAGTACGCTTAAATCAGTATGCGAGCCGAGTAGTATGTCCGAATTAATAGAATTCGAAAATCAGTAGGAGAGAAGTACCCGGATGACTTACTACTTCCGGCGAGATTCTAAAGTGCGCATCCCATGCACGCTGCGCTATCCCATAATGCCCCGCGAGAGAATTCATGAATGGAAGTGAGGCGACGCAACTGACGCAGGTAGGTCACGTGACCATGAAAAATGGCGGATGTAGTACGTCCGAATTCCATTCATACTATTTACCTTCATACAGTATAGAACGCACTTTTCTAACGGCCGTGTAGTACGTTGAAATTCAATTGCAGTACCTACTGAGCAGAAGGGGGTTTCGGACGCAGCCTCTTTGTCGCTGCAAGACGCTCGTAGAGCTCTAATGGTGCTCCTATTGGCTGTCGCTCAGGAAAGTCGCTATGCATTTGCATAAAGTTGAAGGATTCTCAACTTTTTCGCGCCGCTCGACACGCCCACCTGGTTGCCAACGGTCAGTCTCATAGTTGGAGGTCATCGGAAATTGCTCACTCTCCGTTGAAATGAAATAATCGCTTGTCGATTTGCTGCTGCGAGCCGCTCGTAGTGTGAATGAGGCTTTACTGTTAGACTGCTATAAGGCAATGATGCGCTAAATAAAGCCCCACCCACTTCTCAATATCCCGTTTCAGTTGGAACACTAGCCACGACTTTGTAGCTGCCTGTGGCTCTGGGTGGCGACCTGCTGCAAGCGCAGGTCTGAGCACGGAAAATACAACCGGCCACTGAGTGAGCTGATAGAGGATCACATGACCTCTACTGGTGCTCCTATTGGCTGTCACTCAGGAAAGTCGCTTTTTATTTGCATAAAGTTGAAGGATTCTCAATTTTTTCGCATCGCTCGACACGCCCACCTGGTTGCCAGCAGTCAGTCTCATAGTCGGAGGTCGTCGGAAGTTGCTCACTCTCCGTTGAAATTAACGATCGCTTGTCGATTAGCTGCTGCGAGTCGCTCGTAGTGTGAATGAGGCTTTACCGTTAGACTGCTATAAGGCAATGATGCACTAAATAAAGCCCCGCCCACAATATCCAGTTTCAGTTGGAAGTACATCAACATCCTGAAATGAGTCTCTTTGTCGCTTTGTTGCTGCAAGTCGCTCGTAGTGTGAATGAGGTTAGAAAGCGACGTTTGTTAGACGAGATTCTTATGCCTTATTCACACTAGCCACGATTTGTAGCTGTCGCTCAGGAAAGTCGCTCTTCATTTGCATAGAGTTGAATGATTCTCAACTTTTTCGCGTTGCTGGACACGCCCACCTGGTTGCCAACGGTCGCTCTCATAGTCGGAGGTCGTCGGAAGATGCTCACTCTCCGCGAAATGAACGCCGCGACGCTGGACACGCCAACATGGTCGCCAACGGTCCATGTCGCTCGCGTAGACAAAGGTCGTCGAAAGTTGCTCACTCTGTTGAAATGATTGGTCGCTTGTCGATTTGCTGCGGCGAGTCGCTCATAGTGTGAATAAGGCCTTTAGACTGCTATAAGGCAGTGATTCGCTAAATAAAGCCCCGCCCACTTCTCAATATCCCGTTTCAGTTGGAACACTAGCCACGACTTTGTAGCTGCCTGTGGCTCTGGGTGACGACCTGCTGCAAAGCGCAGGTCTGAGCACGGAGAATACAACCGGCCACTGAGTGAGCTGACAGAGGATCACGTGACCTCTACTGGTGCTCCTATTGGCTGCTGCTTAAGATAGTTGCTCGTTATTTGCATAAAGCTTTATGATCTGAGGAATGATCACGGTTTCACGGTAATCATGATTATTATGGCTGCACGATTTCGCATAGATCTGGCATTGCGTAATTTTGTATATATAGCGATAGGAATATAACTGAATAGCTTAAAAGCTTTGAATAGTTTAGGTCATATAATTTTACACAATATTATAAAATATTATCTTTTAATATTTAATAAGTGAACTAATCCTGTGATGCGACTGTTGCGGATAGATACGCTGCGACTGCGATGCTCAAACGATATACTGTTCAGCCCTAACTATGTAATTACCTAACTACTACTAGCATTTTTCATTTAACAACGCTGTTAGCTTATAAAGATCACATGGAAACATCTTGTATTTGTATAAGTGGTATTTGGTTACACTGTATGGTGCTTTGAATGTCTTGTTGCGTTTGGTTTCTTTTCTCCCTCTCTTTCCGTTACCCGTTTCTCAGCTAGGTGTGGAGGAGAGGAAGTTGATTAATTGCACCTGCTGCTCGTAAGCTTAAAAGCCTGCCAGTTGCAAGCCACATTGAAGCTTGCTTCCAGAGTGTGGACTCTACCCTGCCGGGTTGTTTTGTTGAGAAAGATTATTGCCGCTGTTGTGCTTGCTTTTTGGTGTTAAAATCTGTTGCAAAAGCTTTAGAAACTTTGTGTTTGAAAGCTGTAGGTAGTGGTGGGCAAAGCGAGGCTTCGTGAAACACTGAAACAGTCGAAGCAAATGTGTCGAAACGTTTCGAAACCCCACTCTACAGTGACACCTAGTGGTCACTTGTTTATGTATTGCACTGAAACAGCACATAACAGTTCAGCAAATTGAGGTATTAAAGCCCACTTTGTAAGCTTGGTCTTCAAGTAATGTAGCGGAGCGGTTAAGGTGTCTGACTAGCGTCCGGGATTAGTGGGTTCAAATCCAGGCTCATACCGCTGTTTTGAAATGCTTTAATACCAGTTAGTAATGCTTTGCTCTTGTATCGTTTTGTTTCAACATTGGTCTGACATCCAATAAACAATTTGTGAATAAATATGTCTTGTTTTGGTCTTAAAACAGGGTTGTTGCTAGATCGGAAACGGTGGCCTGAAGTTATCAAGAATTATTTATATTATTCATTAAATTTCCCATTTATTGTGTTTTATTAACGTCTACCCAATCCCTAAACCCAACTATCACAGTACTGTAAAAATATTAATTATAGTTTTACAGTGTTACAAAAATGATGCTATATTGATGGCGTAACTGCAGCTGTTTCCTATTTAGGCTACACAAAACAGAAACATGATAAAAACACATAAAACCATGATTTCAGAGTATTTGTACAAGTCGGGATTCCAACCCAAAAAGTCATTTGAAGCATAGTAACATCGTGCACACGCTCAGTCCACTAGGCCATATGAGACGAGATTTTCCAGCCTTGGCAGCCAAATGCACACCCGCCAGGTCTCGAAACGCTTTAGTCACGTGACTTAGATGCTTCGGTGCAGTGTTTCGAAACACTTGCGCTTTGGGATCTCGGCACTGTGTCGAAATGTCAGTTTTACGTCAGCCATCCCTAGCTGTAGGGAGGTGGGTGACATTTTATTTCTAAAACCCCTTTTCGGTTGTTTATGTTTAGTTAGTGTCCATTTCTGTTGTTGATTTTAATTTAATTTTTAATTTTTAATTTGCCAACCCTGTTCTTGGAGATCCACCTTCCTGCAGATTTCAGTTGCTACCCAAATCAAACACACCTGAAGTAATTAATCAGGACCTGAACACCATGTGATAATTACAGGCAGGTGTGTTTGATATGGGTAGCAACTGAAATCTGCAGGAAGGTGGCTCTCCAGGAACACGGTTGGCCACCTCTCAGCAAGAGTGTACTTTTTTTTGTTTGTTGTTTTGGCCGTTCCCCCTTCAGAAGTCCATGTTTAACTCCCAGTTCTGCTTTATCGTTGTACATTTCTGTTCATAAATGCTTTAACTTGAATTTGGTGTTGTCATGAAGGCAGGGGACTGATCCACACACACCGCAGCCAACGTTCAAACTTTTCACTGTTGCTCCCACTCCGAGACTTTTAACATCAGGGACGTAAAAATTAGCCAAATTATATAGTGCAAAATAAGGTAAACCAAACAAAAGTCCAACCCTGAGCTAGACAAAGGCTGCGTCCGAAACCGCCTACTACTCAGTAGGTACTGCATTTGAATGTAAACGTACAACTCGGCCGTTAGAAAGTACGCTCTATACAGTATGAATGTGAAAAGTATGAATGGAATTTGGACGTACTACATCCGCCATTTTGTCATGGTCACATGACCTACCTGCGTCAGTTGCGTCGCTTCACTTACATTCATGAATTCTCTCGCTGGGCATTATGGGATAGCGCAGCGTGCATGGGATGCGCACTCCAGAATCTGAACCAGAACCAGTCGGTCATTCGGGTACTTCTCGCATACTGATTTTCGAATTCTATGAATTCGGACATACTACTGGGCTCGCATACTGATTTTAGCGTAC